ATTACCTGCACCATGAGGAGGTCCTTCCTGGGCTCACAGACCCTCGCTGCAGGGTGTGGACTCTTCCTGTGTGTGAATCTGAGACAGGGCAAGTGGTGCCGGTCTCGTCCTCTGTTTCACTTGCCCTCTCACGGCTAGGTATTGTGCTGAAGCCAGAGTCTGCTGCACCCCCTTTCCTCAAAATGGCAAACAAGACCGATCCTCTTTCAGGCCCTCTCCCCCAACCCCCGACTCCCTGTCCTGTCCCTTCTAGTCTAGTGCTCCTCCTCTTTCTTACCTCTGGGCCCACATGACTCTGAACACCTGCTGTTACTCACTCTCTCCCCACTGGGCTAGCCAGAGTCTGGTTTGTGAACACAAACTGTATTTGCACATACATGAGGGAAACACCTCAGTACCGTATTTGCACATACAAATACAGTTTGCAAATATGCTCTTGCACACCCAAAATTTGAGATGTGGCATTTGGAATTGCGCCTGCAATTTTTTGCCTGTATATTGTAGCCCCTTTGGAAAATTTGGGTCTGGATCTCAACTTCCACTCAAAGAAAAATGAAATTTAGTGCATGAATAAAATGAGAGCATGTTTAAAATGTTTTTTGTTTTTTTGCATTTTTGAGGCAGTTGGAGATTTGTTTGTTGCAGCACACTTTAGATGAAAGAAAATAATTTGCCTCCATTAACCTAATTAAGAATTTTTTGCCCTGTCCCTATAGGCTAGCAATGCTTTGTGTGAAATGCTTTCACCAGAGGACAGACTGAAAAAAAATGAAGTGATGGTACTCTATCTAAATGCTTCCCATAATCCTAAACTTCACCCAGAATACCTGGATCTTCCTGGTAGCGATCAGCTGTGACACAGTCCAGATAAAAAAAATCTCATCATTAGTTTTCCGAGTTAAAATTCCATTGAAATAAATGCGGGAAGTTCACCCCATACGTAGACCTATTGGGCCTGATTCTGCTCTCACTTATGCCAGTGCAGCTCTGTTGACTTCAGGATGGGAGTCAGTCCTGATCTACACTATTATGGGTGAGTGGCGAACCAGGCCCAAGCTCAGACAACCCTGCCTTGGTTCAAATTTGTAAGGTTAGCACCGTACCCAGAGGTGAATGTAAGCCGGTATGCCCTGGTACGGTGTACCGGCAAGAGCCGGTGCGCCGTACTGGGGTGGATCAGCTTCCCCAGGTGCAATTCAAAGGGCCTGCAGCTCCCAGCAGCGGCTGGAGCCCCCGGCCCTTTAAATTGCTGCCAGAGTCCCGCTGCCAGAGCCCTGGGGTAGCGGCGGCTGGGCTGGGGTGGAGATTTAAAGGGCCTGGGGTGGTAGCTGGGGCTCCAGGGACGATTTAAAGGGCCCAGGACTCCGGCCGCCGCTACCACCCCGGACCCTTTAAACCGCTGGCAGAGCCCCTGGCTGCTGCTGTTACCCTGGGGAGAGGGAAGGAGGCAGTTGCCGGTACAGGGTGGGCCGGGGCTGGCTCTGACCGCCCAGCCCCACCCCTTCCGCCCGAGGCCCCACCCCTTCCGGGGGCCAAAGCCGGCCCCAGTCCAGCCCCGTACTGGTAAATCCCCAGACTTACTTTCACCCCGACCGTAACAAGGAACTTTCCTTTTGAAAAATGAAAGGTTAGAATGAGCAGAAACTGATGGGCCACCAAAAAGCATCGGCACAGCGTACTGTGCTTGTGATGCCAATTCTCCCCCCCAACTCCTAGGCTTTAAACCTGTATGTTCTGAAGCTGCGTGGGTGCTCTCTGATGGTTACAGCAAACCAACTGCACAGGAATAAACAAACACAAAGAAGTGGGGCTGGGGCACATGACTTATGAGGAGAGGCTGAGGGAACTGGGCTTGTTTAGTCTGCAGAAGAAAAGAGTGAAGAGGGATTTGACAGTAGCCTTCAGCTACCTGAAGGGGGGTTCCAAAGAGGATGGATCTAGACTGTTCTTGGTGGTGGCAGATGACAGAACAAGGAGCAATGGTCTCATGTTGCAGTGGGGGAGATCTACGTTGGATATTAGGAAACACTATTTCACTCGGAGGGTGGTGAAGTGCTGGAATGGGTCACCTAAGGAGGTGATGGACTCTCCATCTTTAGAGATTTTAAAGGGGCAGCTTGACAAAGCCCTGGCTGGGATGATTTAGTTGGGGTTGGTCCTGCTTTGATCAGGGGGTTGGACTAGATGACCTCCTGAGGTCTCTTCGAACCCTAATCTGCTATGATTCTATGATTCTAAGTGGATGTAAAGATTATGGGAGGGAAAGGAGGCAAAACACCTTGTCAAGCAAGACAGGAAAAGGCGAATAATAAAATATAGGTGGGAGTGTGAAGGAAGAGGAAAGAGAAATGGTTCAACAGCTTTGTCACAAAGACCTCTTAGGTCTTACCAAAGCACCCACCGGTGGACCAGCACTTTAACTCACCAGGCTGCTGGAGCTGGCTGAATTTGCAAAGGGTTATTGAGCTCACTAACACAAAAGACTTGGATAAGGTTGTGTCACATGACATCATGAACAATCTTTATTGATTATTCAAAAAACTTAGGAAGAACTTCTATTAAAAGCCTAAAATAAACCAGCTATAGATCTCCACTTGTTCAGACAGAGAAATAAATCTCCCACAAATGTATACTCCTTCAAATGGAATACATTTTATGAATCATTTCCCAAAAATCTGTGATCATTATACTGGATGTGTTAATTTCCCAACAGATAACCCATCACATGATGATTTTTTTAAAATGAAGTGAAGTGCCTTCATTACCAAGGATTGGCCAAATTCTGATCTCACTTACACTGGTGTAAAGCTGGAATAACTCCACTAAGGTCACATTGAAAACTAGCGTGAGATAATTAGGACTCGATGGGAAATTCTGGCCCCATTGAAGTAAATGGGAATTTTGCTATTGATAGAAATGGGGCTAGGATTTCACCCCAAGCATTCAAAGCTGAATACTTTTTCTAATACGTAAGATGTGGAGGGAATCAAGGGAAAGCATATAATATTTATATATAAACTGACAACTCTGAAAAATAGAGGGCCTGTCTCCTTAATATGAGAGAGCGAGCGAGCAGAGAGTAATTTTTGAGGGCAGGAGGAATTTTGCTTTAGACAGACAACATTCCCCAATAGGATGAAAAGTGATCAGTCTCTAGCTTAATGAAACTCAGGCCTTGCTGAGAGAAATATTGCATGGGTTGTACCAGCATGTGTAATGCTATTTTCTGAAGTATAGACTGTGACCATATACTCTAAGATGGGAGGTCAGAAGTCAGCTATACTAATTTACACGAACTGGCCACAGATGTGCAGGAGTGGAGAGCAAAACTCAATATATCAACTCAGTTCTTTTTCCTTGAAGGAAAACACTCCAAGGCTGCAGACCTTTCCCTTCCTTTCCCCATCCTCACAGAGTAGTGTTAAGCACACCCTCGCCCTACATGCAAATTGCCTGGAAGCTGTATCTTGCAAATAGGTGGCTTAACAAAGAAAAAAAATCACGTCAAATGTAAAAAAAACCCACAACCCAAGAATATTTTTAATATTTCTGCAGTGCATTTACCCTGATGCACAAACGTCTTTAGTGCTTCTCAAGTTCATCGGTCAGAGTGAACAATCATATGAATCGTAGAATCAGAGAATATCAGGGTTGGAAGGGACCTCAGGAGGTCATCTAGTCCCACCCCCCGCTCAAAGCAGGACCAACCCCAACTAAATCATCTAAATATGACACTATTTACTTCTCCTTGTCCCCCAATATACACGTGCTAAGCTGACCTTTGATAGGATGGAATGTTTTGTAATCAATTCTTAAAGTTATAGCACCACTGGATTTTATTAACTCGCATAACAAAACAACAACAACAAAACCCAACAAAACCCAGGACCTCATAACTGATCAGCCTTGTTTTATCCTTAAAGCTGCTTTAACAAGCAGGGAGTAATATATTGCAATTGGTATGCCACAATTCAACTGTTCTGTTCTTAAATCTAATATTGCAGCTGTAGGTTAAGTTTACACCAGAGCTTTCAAGAACATGAAAGTGTGGTACATCTGTGCAACAGAAAGCTAAACATCTCTTGATCTGATGTGTTTACAGTGACATCTGATATTGTGGAAGGGTTTGGAGTTTGTTAAAGCTACAGAACAACTTTTAACTGGTGTCATACAACAACTATGGTCTGCAAAAATCTCCTCATAAACTGCTCAGCCTGATGTGAGACAAGTAAAGCGAGGAGGATAATGTTTTCTCAAGAATCTTTGTAGATTCGTTTGATGCAATGGAAATGGAACTCTGACCATAACTTCTCTTTCCGACTGTGGGCCATATGCTCAATTATTTCAATCAAGCATTTGAAAAATAAACACCATTTACATAAAAACATCTGAATACATCATAATAGCATAAAGAGAGAACACAATATGTCAATGAGTGATACTTAAATCAACTGGGGGAACTTAGTACATTCAGAAATCAAAGAGCCTTCAAGTTAACAGGTGGCAGAGCTGTGTATGGTACCCCGGACTTCATATTCTGTGTAACGAGCAGCTTCAGCATTATTTACTAGTTAGTGCATTTATTAAGCTCATAAGTAGTTCGAGAAACTTGGAAATGGGCTCATAAATGTCAGCTGCAGTTTGTGAACTGCAAGTATCTGAGTGTTTTGATCAATGCTTTTACAGGAAAGTTAAAGGGTTATTAAAATTGTTTACTACTGCTACATGAAAAGGGAACAAGCCTGCCGAGTAACTTCAGTGGCAATAAGGCAATGCATAAGGCTGCAGATTGAATGCTGCAGCAGAAAAGACTTTCCACCTTTAACTAAAAGATTCAATTCACACACAACATCCGAGTCCACACCACTAGGAAGCTTGTTGCATGTTCTTTCTTCACAATGAACGATACAACTTTATGGTTGGTTGGTTTTGTCTGCAACATTAAGTGACCAAGAACACAGGTTTCTGTCAGAAATATTTAATATGAGTAGGTTTCTGTATGAACGTTTTCTCATGCGCTAGTATGTCCTTCTGACACCTGCTGTCCTTTGAGAACTCAAAATGTGGAAATTAGGTAAGAAGATCCTTATCTGCCATTTCCTCGGAGGCAATCCACATTGATGCATTAGGTATCATCCAGTCTGACAGCTGAAATTCATGTAAGCTAACATACTACACTGGAATCCATTCAGGTTTCAAATTTATTATTTCAACCAGAATTAAGAACTACCCAAAGCCTCTTCATAAAAAGGCACCAAGGCTGCACAGTGGCAACTTGACTAATGGGGGACAGTCTGCTTGCATAAAAAATACCTTAAAAAGCATATAATTCCATGGGAGTAGATCTGTAGCAATAGTCTCTTGCACATGGAAATTGGATACAGTAAAATGCAACAACAGTGCTTCCCCTCGGTTCAATTAATTGAGAAATAAAAATTGCCCTTAGAAAGGAAGAAATGCATTCATATTTCTTAGGCTTTTTCCTCTTTTTTGTAACATCATAATGTTCTCTTCAGGGGTGGGAAACTTAATCTTCAAGTTCAAAGCCTGTTTCATCGTATAGTTCAGGATGAGATGACCTGGAATGCCGTGAATACTTCAGTTGCAGAAAATCGCCCAATTCATCAAGGGCATTCAGGACCTGCAAGATCATTACACTGTATCAGTTATCTTAAAAGGATTTAAAGCTGTTCTCACTTCTGCTTTACATCTGAACTGCAAGTGACACAAAAACATATGTGGTTTTCACAGTTTAAAATCAAACAAAAAGGAATAAAGTCAAAGGGGTGATTTTTTCTGTCAGCTACACTGGTGAATGTCAGTGAAAACAATTGAGCTACACTAGATTTACATTAGCATCACTGAGAACAGAATTTGGCTCTACGGTAGGCTATGTTGTGGCAATATTTATTAGCCGACTGTTGGTAAATTGTGTATATTTCTCAGACTTGCAGGGGGAAAAATACTCCAACTACAAATTCTCTTTTTTTACATGAAAGAGGCACATACATAATATAAGACAACATTGCTGTATCTGCATACATATCCCAAAGGCCAGTTTCACCACTGTATAACTCCAGAGGTGGACAAGGCCCAGATGTCTATCAGGATCATTGTGACTATCTTGAACAGTATTATGTGGTTTGATAGCACATTTTCCACTTTTGCTTGTATTAATATCACAGCTGGCCTGATCCTATAATGTGAATGGCTGCACATCCTCAACTCCGACTGGATTCAATAGAGAGCAAGGGCATTCAGAATCTCTCTGGAGAAGATCAGAACCCTGCAGCCTCAAGCCCATGCTGAAGAGCAGCCAATAGGTTCGTATCAACTAAAAATATAGCACCTGTCCTTTCAATCCTGTTTCTGTTTACACAGTAACATATGCTCAAGAATAGAAAAGTCCCCCCCACCTGGTTTAAGACTGTGATAAAATGAGCTAAATAAAGAAGGACCTGCAAAGTAATTCAGAAAAATTACCATCCTTGGAAACTTTCCATTTTATGGGTCTTCCCCCGTATGTATTCCTGCCAGTGATTTAAACCAATGGTTGTTGTGGTGAGAAATGGAACAAGAGCTGTGTGTTTTTATCTTACACTGGATATACAGCACAGTCATGCAGTGGTTGTCGTTAAAACCTTTTCAGCTGCCTGAGGTAACTAAACCAAACTAAACCAGAGTGTTTCCCATTCCCCACATAAAGCATAGGGAACTTTAGATAGTGTTGCAAACACTATGGCAATGATACCTAGCTGCAAAGGCAAATCTGGAACTTGTAAAAGGTGACTGCCGAGGAGCGGCCCCAATTTGCATACTGCAGTGAGATGAATTGCAAGATCAGTGCTTGAAAATTGTAACTTTCCTGTTTTTAATGCTACTGTTTTAAAGAAAGAAAACCTAAGCGAAATAAAGAGATTAAGATCCTAATCTCCAGGGTGATTTCACTGTGTATTACTGCAGTTGCATAATCAAAAGCTTAGGCAACTCTCGAACTACACAGCAAAATAACAGCCTACCTACCTACACCTTGGTAACTAAGCATTGATATATATATTTATTTTACCATTCAACTTTAACTTCATGTTGAGTATTCCGTTGTTCCTTATTGTAGTTTTAAGATTGAGCAGGAATTTCCTACTGCACATGTACAAACCAGATTTTTCAATTTTGTTTCTAAAATGGTTTAAATTGGCCTGGAAACTAGTCTTGAGTATAGGGCTAAGGCCTCAGTCCTCCACCTGTGTTTGGATCCATGTGCTCACTGAGGTCTGCTTGGGCACAGGGGCCAGCTGCATGGAGTCAGAAGCAGGATCAGGGCTCTCTTCCCACTTTGAAAACACTGAGTGTATAAAACGCATCAGTTTCTGAGAGTTAAGCTCATGCAAAAAGAGCCTTAAAATCTGTCGGCAACCAAAAAAGTTCCACCCTTGCCTAACTCAAAAATGGATGAACATATTTCATCCAAATTTGCTTCTGCCTCACGGGGTGGGGGAAATCACCCTTGGACTGCGAGGAAGATGGAAAATTTCAATCTTAAAAATACTTTTTTTAGGAAGTTATGAACAAATGGAAACAGAAGTTTATAATGCAAGTCTCAACATTACTGTAACTGCCCTTCCGGAAGCAAGTAAAGATACAGGGATGAAACTGGTCATATCGCACCTTTTAGCCCTCTTGTTTGATACAAACAATTCCAAATATTGGACTGAAAGTTCCACATGTATCATACAAAACCTAAGACGGTGCTATATTTTGCTGCTGCAATGTAACTCACATAAATATGGAATGAATATAAGGGCATGGACACTCTTATATGCAATTACCACCACATCATTTAGCATTTCCTGCCCTAGCAATTTTGCCCTAGCAGTTAAGTTTAGTCTTGATGTGCTCCTCATATAGGTCTTTATTATTATTAATTATTATTATTATTTGGTCACTATTAGGAATAGAGGACTATAGTACAGTTAATTGTTGTATAATTTAATATTTTAAATAAAATATGTAATTATAAAGGCTTTAAAGATCAAGTGACAAAGATCAAGAAAAGCAAATGCAAAATGAACAATTGAGATTCAACATAACAGACTTGTAGCTTCTCCCAGCCCCTCTAGCATCTGACGTTAATTTCACCAGGACATCTGCTCTGCTTACCGTGTCTAACATCTCCCGTGTATGTGCAGCTGACACACAAAACCGAGCCCTCGATTCTGTGATAGGAGTAGCTGGAAATCCAACCACAACCACCCCAATATTTTTGTCTAACATGCGCCTAGCAAAAGCCCTGGGAGGAGGGAAAGAAGAAAACAAAAGTGAGTTATTCCCAATAAAGCACAAAGAGAAAACGCTCAAGTGTGAAAAACAATGGTTAAAAAATCCTAGCCATACTGAAGTCAATGGGAGTTGTACCATCAACTCTCCACTGCCTTCCTTGCAGCTTGTGTAGTCATTTTCACCTCTGCAAAGCGACCGCCAAATACAATCACTGATGTAAGTGAGCAGAGAATTCTGATTAGGAGCAATTTGAAATCACTGTGCACAGGTGCAAATATCTATGTAAAGTGTAAGGCAGCAAGAATCAGACCCTATATGAGGCAACTATTTAGATTAACAGATGGTGATAAATAAATAATGAATGCCATTTAGATCAAATTTCATTGAACAAGGCACTGAATATAAAGTAGAAGGATGGTCTTGTGGCTGCAGCACGAGACTGGGACTTGGGAGACCTGGGGCTAATTTCTGGCTCTGCCAAAGACTCCCTGAATAGGCAGGTCATTTAACCTCTGTGTGTCATTTTCCCACCTGTAAAATGGGGAGAACAGCTACCTGCTCGGGGTCCTGAGGAGAAAATTGTTCATATTTGTGAGGTAAGTAATGCAGAGGGACATAGATCGATTCATAACACTTAGCATGGACTAATTGGCCTCAACTACAACCCATTCTACCAATCTGTGCAAACAGGTAGAGGAGACTGTGGTCACAAATAAACTGATCCAAAGAGGAAGCATGCATGAGCCATGGGGACAGCTACAGAGGGACTCTGACAAACAACTTCATGAGGGCCTTCCAGAGATGGGGCCCCAATGCTGAGAAGTCTCTGCACCTTGACTGGTCCACACTGAACTTCAGGATGGCAAGGGGAGACATCTTAGTTGATCTCCAATGCCTCAAGAGGGAAACAAGATGGTTCTGCAACTAAGGATGTCCCCAATTTTCCCCCAGCACCCAGTCCAGCTATTTGGGTTGTGTTCTGGGCTGAGGATTTTCTATAGCTTATAATTCTAAGACCTGCTTTCTGCCCGTCAGGTGGTCCTTGCAAGAGGGCTTGATAAATAATTAAACTTCAGACTAAAAGGATCCTGGTGTAACTGGGAGACAGGGGAGTTCACTGTTCCCCACAGATCCTGAAATGCTGATGGAAGCTTGGCCATAGAAGGATACAAGTTCTCCGTGCAAGAGCTGGCCTGTGTTCACATCAGAATGAGTAAGCAATTATCCTGGTGGCTTTACTGTTACCAGGTCTGATGGGCCAGAGTAGGACCCATATTTATGGTCTAAGAAGCAAAGGCTCCTCCAGAGAGTTACTTTTGCAAAGATTCCAACTCCCTACACTCTGGGCCTTTGTAGATAAGCTAATAGGTTACTGCCAATTTCCACTTACACAAGTCAATAAAGAGTTATCGTCACATACTGTAAAATGGTGTAATGTACGTCAGTCTAAGACATGTCATATCTTACATAGAGAACAATGAAATACCTTCAAAATAATTAGACACCAGCTTTTAAATTATTATAATTTTTCAAAACATCAATAGAAAGAGAAAGAAGAGTTTAAATTTTTTAAAAATTCTGTACACTCATTTAGTGTATGGAGAAGCTGGCTCAAAATCAAGGCCAGGATGAAGGCCAGGATTAAAGCTACCTATGGCAAGTTCACTGAAAGGAAGAAATTTCTCCCTTGCAACATCTACAGCAAGTAGCCAGATTGAATAGTTTTAAACGTACCCTCCATATAATTTTAGTGTAGTTTGTTTGCCTGCCAGGCACATTTCAGTACTTACCCTATTTTACCAGGCATATAAAGGAGCAAGGGGACAACAGGGGAATCATCATTTCCATAAACAATGAAACCCATTTCGTGCAGTCTCTGCCTGAAGTATCTTGTGTTTTCTCCTAGCTGGCGCACTCTTTGAAGCCCTAAAATGAGACAGTCATGAAATCAGTCAGGGCACAAGATCTCCAGGAAAGCAAAACAGGGACCTGTAAGTTTCAGAAACATTTAGCTCTCCATGAGATCTTTATATAGATATTGGATCCATAAGAAAAATATTTAGTGAGTCACCTGTACAAGCCACATAAATACAGAGGCACATACTGAACCTAGGAATGGTTTCAGAGTAGCCGCCGTGTTAGTCTGTATCCGCAAAAAGAACAGGAGGACTTGTGGCACCTTAGCGACTAACACATCTATTAGAGCATAAGTCCACTGACTTCTGCTGAATTATGCCTGACCTACCATGGCATGAAATGAGACGCAAACCTACTGTATTCAGACATACACTCCTACAGACAGGAGTATTCTCTCTCTGTCTCGCTGGACATAGATTAGGGAACAGTTGCCTTTATAGTGCATATAGTTAAAAAGGACATGTTGGATGATATCTACGCATTGGCAGCAGTGGTGGTCTGGTATGATAGTGTATACATCCATCCAGCTGGCTGGGGGGGGGGCGTGTCCTTCAGTGCGGCCGAAGACTAGAGCCAGTGAAGGACCCAATGCCGAAGTGCCGCTGAAGACCGAGAGCGCCGCCTGACCCGACGCCAAAGACCCAGAGCACCGCCGGGTGAGTACAAGTGGGTGACACCTTTTTTTATCTCCATTCCCCTTGTTTTCTCTTGCCGCAAGATGTGCAAATTCCGTTCAAAATAGTTGCAGAGATTTTTCTATCACAACCTATTTTTCTATTCCTATTCTATCATCACCTATATTCAAGGAAACCTGATTCCACATGTCTCGGTCCGAATCGCACTGCAAATTCATAGACAAGGTTCAGGTTCCCATGGGTTTGCGCCCGTACACATGAGCTGGCCAAGAACAGAAGTGAAACTAGTAGCCTTGGAAGAGTGAAAGCAGAATTCATCTTACTGCATTTGAGTACCGTCCTTTCTGGAAGACAGAGATGTGTCCAAAGGCAGAGGCTGCCCACTTCCTACCCCATATCACCCTCCCTTGCTAGTCTAGAACTAGTGAAACATTTCTGGCTAAAGCAAACAAAGAACAATTAAAGAGAGGATAGAAAGTCAGCTTTGCATTTTTTCAACTTAAAAAAAAAATTTGCGCCCACCATTTTTTTTAAAACAATGCAGAAGTAACCATTTTTTCCACACATGCATCTTGAGGTCTTCCTCTCACCCACCTCACAATTAAGTGCACAGGCACTGACTTGCTAATGTGCCAGGGGGTGCTTGACCCCCGGCTCTGCCCCAGGCCCCGCCCTACCCCTTCCTCCAAGCCCCCCGCCTCTTCCCCTCCCCTAGCACACCACGCCCTCGCTCCTCTCCCTCCCTCCCAAAGCCTCCTGCACGCTGAGAAACAGCTGATCATGGTGGATGGGAGGCGCGGGGGGAGGGGAGGGGCACTGATAAGCAGGGCCTGCCTGCGTGTGGCAAACACTGACAGGCAGGGGGAGCTGCTGGGGGCTGCTGGTGGGTACTATCAAACTACCTACAAGAGTTTAACATGAAAGTATTACATAAAACCTGGGGCAGTGGTTAATAGTTCATAAGAACACAGGAACTGCCAGACTGGATCAGAGCCCCATCTCTGAGAGTGTACAGGACCATTGTGCCATCAGGCCCGAAGAGGGGTGCTGTGGATTTTTTAAAAAAAAATGACATGTGGACAAATTGGAGAAAAAAGTCCAGAGAAGAGCAACAAAAATGATTAAAGGTCTAGAAAACATGACCTATGAGGGAAGATTGAAAAAATTGGGTTTGTTTAGTCTGGAGAAGAGAAGACTGAGAGGGGACATGACAACAGTTGTCAAGTACATAAAAGTTTGTTACAAGAAGGAGGGAGAAAAATTGTTTTTCTTTACCTCTGAGGATAGGACAAGAAGCCATGGGCTCAAATTGCAGCAAGGGTGGTTTAGGTTGAACATTAGGAAAAACTTCCTGTCAGAGTGGTTAAGCACTGGAATAAATTGCCCAGGGAGGTTATGGAATCTCCATCATTGGGCATTTTTAAGAGCAGTTGGACAAATACCTGTCAGGGATGATCTAGGATAATACTCAGTTCTGCCTTGAGTGCAGGAGACTGGACTAGATGACCTCTTGAGGTCCCTTCCTGTTCTATGATTCTATGTGAGAACAAAGGGGGGGGAATCTGCCTTCTGATTAGTCGTCTGCCTCACGGCCCCGCCTCCTCTGGGACAGAGCAACCAATCAGAGCTCAATCACCTTCTTTTCCTCACTCTGCTCCTGTGTGAGCGATGGGGTGGCTCCTTTGCCCCTCTCCTTCCCTCCTGCAGCTGCTGGCCTGGGCAGGGGAGCGGGGGGAAGCTCCTGGAGCTCGAGGTGTGCTGTGGCAGAGAAAAGGTTGGGAACCACTGCGTTGGAGGAAGTTGTAAGAACCCTGCAGTAGGCAGATATGGGGTAATCTGCCCTCCACATAAGGTATCAGCCTGGTCTCTAATAGAGATTGGTGTAAGCCCTTATACACAAGCTTTAATATTCCTTCTACGTTTTGCTGCTAGTAATTCTGATAACTCTGCATATTGCTGATATCCATATAAATATCTAATACCTTTTTGGATCGATCTTATTAACTTCTTGGGCTCAACAATGTCCTGTGGCAAGGTCAGGGCCATCTGCTTCCCTCTGCTTCTGCAGATTGCTCCAGGGAGGCACAAAAGAGAAAGACCCAGTTCCATGGCAGGCTTCCTCCTTTCTCTCAACCCTATGGAAGCACTGCAGGGAACTCATCACTAGTTTGGAAGGGGCAGGCTGGGAGGCCAGATGAGCTCAACAGCATTCCCCCGCCCCCAAGTCACAGGGGAAAGCAACACAAACTACAGCAAAAGCTACTGCGGGAGAAGAGAGTGACAGGACCAGCGGTTGGCTGCCCAAGACAGTTACATAAACTAAGTCAAGAGTTTGGCCTATCAGATATTGTCAGAGTTCAAGGATGACTTTTGATCATTGGAGATAATGTGAAATGATTAAAGATACTTTAACAATATTTCAGATGTATTAACTTTCTTACTAAGTGACATCCAGGGATGTCTGCATGACAAGAAATTGCATTCATATAATGTTTTCAGTTGCTTTGGAAAGTGCTTTCACTTGTATCAATGTGTTGAACAGAAAACAGCAATACAGGTCAGACAAGTGTCTTGAAATTCATTCAGACATTTGAAATATTACACTGTTGCTTTGATTTAATCTCACATATTATAGTCTATTAAAAATGATTTTCTTCTCCTATGGTTTTGATGGAAGACTGACTAAGTTGAATGTATTTTTAAATAAATTATTCTTTTCCCCGCTGTCAAGCTTGTGAATAGATCAAACACGTACAACATGTAATGCATGTGTAGTTACACTAAGGATGTATATAAGCAGTTCCATCCAGTTCTAGAATAGCTATACAAGTAATAAAATTATGTATATTACCCACATCAATTTGGAAAGTAGAATCCGCAGCTGGTGATCAGTTTACACCCTGAAGCAAGAGAACTGATAGACCCTGTAATTTTTTTAGTGCTAGATAGTGTAACAGATGCTCTTCCAATTAATATAATTGTCTGATCCTTTGATTCCTTCTGAACTCTGTATTTGTCCCAGTCATGTCCTGTAGCATTGATTATTATGAAATAATTTTATGCTGAATTAGAAAATATTTCTGAGTATCTGTTCTAAATTTGTTGCCTTTCAACTGAGAGTGTCCATTTGTTTTTGTGTTATGGGAAAGGGGTAAATAGGAGTGTTTAACTCACCCTTCACTATACTATGCTGCTCATTGTTTTACAGACCTCCACCATATGCTCTCTGTCTCATTTTTATTCTTTCCAAATTAAATAATCCTTGTCTTTTTACATTCTCCTTTACATATCTTCTTCTAATACCTCTGATTTTTCTGGTTGCTACTTTCCTTCTGGTGATTCCAGTAATTGAGGAGATGGCCTAATACCATGTTCCAAGATGTAAAATACCATTGTAAAAGTATCCATGTGCTTTATTCCCTAAATAGCAGTCATGCCCCCTGGCATGTTGCTGACTCGTTCGGCCCCTGTCCCCCGCAGCTGGGATGGCAGTAGGTTGCCCCCGCCCTCCTGGGCCCTGTTGTTGGGGACAGGGGCCGAGTGAGCTGGAGCCTCCTTCCCTCCACGACATGCTGGGCTCCTGTCCCCGGCCGCCGAGCCTGCCATTGCCTCCCAGCCAGGCTCTCTCAGGCAGAAGGGGTTCTGTCCAACTGTTCTGTTCCCCGCCCAGCTGCCAGGAAGGTGCAGAGAGAGAGGACAGAGCTCCTCTCCTTCCCTGCCCCCAGCAGGCCAATCTGGGGGAGCACTTGACCCTCCATACCCCATCACGTGTTGCCTCGATGATTTCTGGAAAGGTAAACTCCCAGTGTATGGGAGCGGTTTATTTCATCCCATGCACTGCTTTCTACTTGACTATTCTGATTTTCACCTGCCATTGTCAGAAGCTCTGGGACTTCTCACAACTCTCGCTATTCTTGATTGGGAAGTTGAGTGAACAACACATATAGTAGTACTGGTCCATGAGGCACTCCAGTGTAAGGATCAGATTGTCCTGAGCTCTTGCACAGAGGGAGAGAAGAAGGGCGAGTTGTGCAAGGGCCAGGGAGCACTGCAGTCACTGGGAGCACAGAGATTGCTCCTTCCATTTTGTCCCAGGTGCATGATCCACCCTAAAGGAGGCAGAGAGGAGACAAGGCCATGGAGCTCACTGGGAGGAGCAGTCTGTACCATCAAATGAATGGTGTAGATGTGTGTTAAGGTAAAATCCTTCTGATGCGTCCCATGGTGCAGTGCATCTCTGTATCACACTCAGAGACCAGTGGCTTAATGCCACAGTCTAGCCCTTATTCCTTTTCCACTGTAAGAATTGCCCATGTTTTACCTCCTATATCTTAAACAGCCTATAGGCATGACAGGGCCTCATCTCGCAAGCCA